AAAAAAAAAAAAAAAAAAAAGCAGCTTCTGCTGCTTTTTTTTTTTTTTTTTTTTTGCTTAAAGCAAAAGATAGATGGGGCTTTTTGCTCTCTGATCAGTTTTGGCTAACCTAATACACCATTCTCAATTTTCTGGACTTTAGTGGATGCAATTAACTCTACCTGAAAACACTGCTTCTGCTCCTTTCACTTTTCAAAACTGGGGCCAAATGTTATTTTTTTTAGGCAAATCTTGCCTGACTCTCTATATTAGCTTGAAGACTTGTTATTTATCCCTTATGTCTTCCCATATACAGCATTCACCATACCTTTAATTACTGAATTGTCTCTTCTATCACACCATATACCAAGAGCAAATATCTGCTTTATCCACTGTCATCCAAATGATTAGCACTCAATAAATGCTGCACTTGATCTTAGCCAAAAGGCCAAGAAGCGATTAGCACTAAGTAAATGGTTAGCACCCAATAAATATTTGCTCAACTGAATAATGACACAGCCCTTGATCTGGACTGTGTCCCAACAGTTTCTAGGCCTTATATTATGGGACCCTATAAAGCTCATCTATAATTCTGTTCCTGTCAGACACTCTTACAATATAAATACTGTTTCTCTCCATTTACCTTTCAGACAAATGCGAAAAGTGCCAATTCCTTGAGCAGATCTGCATAGTTCCTTCTACCACCATTTTATATTCTCATCATACACCTAGGTACTAAATGGAAGTATTATGTATATTCTTGAAATTTTAAAAATAGAAACCTTTCATTAATATGATCAATATTTTTAAGAATTAGGATGACCTAAAGGTGTTTTTAAAGGAAAATGTAAGAAGGATATAAACTACATTATCTGAATATTCTCACCATGTACAGGAAAACATTCAAAAAATATTTCAAAAGCTTGAGGTTTTAAAGTAAACAGAAGCTTTAAATCACATGACAAGGTCTGTTGCTTTATTGATTTGTTGTTTTTGTTTTTGTTTTTTGAGATAGGGTCTTGCTATGTAGTTCAGGCTGGCCTGGACCTGACTAAGTACCCGAGGCTGGCCTGGAACTCCTGGCAACCCTCCTGCCTCAGCATTTAGAGCACTGGGATTGCAAATGTGAAGTAGCATGCCTGGCTTTGGTTTACTGCTTTTTGTGGGTACCTGGGATAGAACTCAGGACCTTGAGCTTGCAAGGTAGGCACAGTGCCACTGAGCTAAATCCCCAGCCCTGGTTTACTACTTTTTGTACTCACATCACTGACTGAAGATTCTACATAGAGTATTCATTTTCACACCTTTTTTTGTCATAACATTGTGGAGCTGAAATATGATCTTTGGAAAGGGTAGTGGAACATTTTAAAAAATCAAGAGAGCTGGATAATAGTCCCAGATTTGCCATTGGAATGATTCACTTAGTGATCCTGGATCAGTCTTTTCCTAACTCTAAAATGAAGAATTCAGTACAGATATGAGGGAAACCTGTGTATGTACAGTATTCAGAGGAAAACAGATAATTTACCTACCAATTTTAGGCCTTATAAAGATTTAAATGAAAAAGGGCTGGGGATTTAGCTCAGTGGTTCTGCTGCCTGACTTGCAAGCACAAGGTTCTGAGTTCAATCCCCAGTACCAAAAAAAGATTTAAATGAAAACCAGAACGCTAACCAGAACGCTAGTTTTCTCTGAAATGAGACTAGACTGGTTTGTAGAGTATGAGTCTTCCTCTCCCTCTACATTTACTGACGCTTCCTTTGGATTTGGAAGGTGTCTGCAAAAACCTGTCCAGGCCAGTAAAACAGAATGGCTTTCACTGCCACTCCCTTGATCCTTGAACATCATTTCCATTAAACAGTTTTAGAGTCTGATAAGAAAGCTCCAGAGAGTAACTGATCCAGCTTCAACCGCACAAAGGTCTGAACTATAATATGAAAAGACATTTCGGCTTTTTCAGAGCAAGAACAACCTAGACTGGGCTTTCCACATCTGTAATAAAGGCTAGCGACGTAGAAAGCACCCAGTGTGAACAGGTTAGGCGCACCTCAAAGGGGTCCCGGCAACCCCATGCCTCTATTTTAAGAAGCTGTGGACCCTGCAGGTTCCTGCCTAGTATTTCCAAAACTGCCCACCTTTTTACGCCCTTGGGGGAGATTGCCCCGTCCCCGCCCCCGAGTCGCCAGCCAGTCCCTGACCTCCTCGAACTGCT